AGCTATCTGCCAGTGAAAGTCCTGTCAAAATCGATCCAGCCGTTTTGGAGATTAGTCGGCACCAACAGACAGACAGACAGAAAAAAAAAATTAATTTGTGTTTTTGTTATGATTACCGTATATACTTTCATATATGCATTTAGTTAAATGCTGTAAATTTTGACATTAAAATACACACTTCAATTTTATTTATTTGTGTAGTATATATATTACACATATAGGAACACATATATATATACAGGGTAATTTTTAATTTACTGAAGATCTTTTGGAAATATATTATTTACATCATAATTATCTGTGTCGTCAGTCGGTCAGTCGCCTTTTGTGCGCCCGCGACTTTTCTCCTTCCGTTGTGAGATTAATATCGCGAACGTTACGCGTTGTTGTAATGGCATACCGATACTCAAATATTGAGTATACCGAAATGGTGCGAATTTTAGCAATTTGCAATGATAACGTTAGTGAAGCCTGCCGTGAATATTCAAGGCGATTTCCCAACTCACGTGCACCGAGCTACGCTACGATGCTAGGTACTACACAGCGATTGCGAGATTACGGGCAATTCCAGCCTGTATCAATCGATCGTGGTCGTCCACCGCGGCGCACAGTACGTGAGGAGGAAGACATACTGCAGTTTTTTGAACGAAATCCAGCAGCGAGCACTTATAAGGCAGCCCGACAGTGCAATGTGTCACAGTACTACGCATGGAGTGTCATACAAAATGAAGGGAAATACCCTTTCCACTTGCATCGTGTTCATGAACTCAGCGAAGCTGACCAACCAGCCCGAGATACATTTTGTAACTGGTTACTAGCTGCTGAACTGATGAAGCAACATTTGGCAGAATATGACTATTTAATTCGCACAATGAACACATGTGGTTCTATGAAAATACACATGAATCAAGACCGCATAGCATTCAACACCGGTTTAGTGTCAATGTGTGGGCATGCGTTATTATTACAACGTTACTGAGCCCGGTCTTCATAGAAAGATTAAACGGTGAAAGCTATCATAGTTTTCTCACCGACACGCTGCCAGAGTTGTTAGAGGACATACCACTTGCATCTCTACGCAATATGTATTACCAACTTGACGGGGCGCCGGCACACTATGCTCGCCAAGTTAAAGATTATTTAAACAGAGAATACCCTGGTCGCTAGGTCGGTCGTGACGCGCCTTGTGCATGGCCTCCCAGATCGCCAGATATCACACTAATGGATTTTTATTTGTGGGGCATGTAAAGACATTAGTGTTTACTGATCTTGCATTCGAAACCCGCGACATGTTGAAAGAAAAAATAATTTGGGCATTCGATCAAATCAAAATGAATCATCAAGTATTATCTCGTGTCCGTGAACAGTTAAGTTTTAAGTGTCAATTATGCATAGAATGTGGAGGTGCTTATTTTGAACGCTATGTGCGCGATACTCACCGCCATCCGCGGACAAGTACCTAGGTAAGTCTAATTTTTAAATTTGTATTTTAATATTTTTATTGAACCTTTAATATCTTTATTCAATTACTGTTCATTTGTATTTATTCATTATAAATATTTTATTGTAATATTTGTAATTATTTTAACCTGCATCCATTTTTTAAATACAACTTACATTAAATAAAAAAAATTGTTAATAATACTCATTTAATTTGCACGTGCTGCAAACATCGATCACCAAAACGATGCCTGCAAACCGAAAAGGGCAGGCGGCGCCTTTGATGACGGTGACACCTGTGTCGACGTTATAATATATCGTTGGCTTGGCCTTGGGCCGCCGCATGTGCGACGTTGAGGCGTTGCCTCTTGGATGCAGGCAGAGTTGCTAGCAAACAGTATTCGTGAAAAAGACTACCTAAATGTCTATTAAAGAATGTCTATTAATTCTTAAAGAAATTAATAAAAGAATCAAATAGTTCATCAAATGGTTTTATGCAAAATAAAGAAGTATATGAAAAGTTAATGTAGTCATTTAAAGTGGCGCCCTGGTGCAATAGGCACAGTGATGAATGGTTTAGTAGGCACTTGCAACTCAATCAGCTGAGCGTGAGCGTCGACCGGCCCGGCGGTCGTTCTTACTTATTATAAATTTTAATATTTGTGATTTTTTTTTTGAATGTCATTTGCTCATTTAATTATGTTTAATGATTTGTAATTGATATTGTTTAATGATTTGACAACACAATGTGTGATACTGATATCAAGTGTAAAATAAATAAGGCATTTTCTTTGACGATTTATTCTGACATTGTTTAGGTACTACAAAATACAGACTTAAAAGGATTCAGACATGACAACAAAACCTTAAAAGTAGTTTTTCGTAAATGTATTATATTCTGTGAAGAGAGATCTCGCTAAAATTGTTTGTAATGATGTAACCAATATATTCCCAAAAGGTCTTTAGTAAATTAACAATGACCCTGTATATATATATATATATATATATATATATATATATATATATATATATATATGTGTGTGTTTGAATTAAATGAAATAGAAATTCCGAAAGAAGAGGAAATAGATAGAGTTATAAGTATAGATGAAATAATGAAAGCAATGAAAAGTATGAAAGCAGGTAAGGCAGCCGGTTATGATAGAGTATTTCTCGAAATGCTAAAGGCTGGAGAAGGAGTAGTGGCAGACCTGCTGTACACCTTGTTTAATTTATGTTGGGAACTTAAGCGGGTACCGGGAGACTGGTGCAAAGCCGTGATAGTCCCAATATATAAGGGAAAAGGATCACAGCAGGACTGCAAAAACTACCGTGGTATCAGCCTTCTTAGCATTGTGGGAAAACTGTATGCTAAGGTACTAATTGAAAGAGTTGTGAAAGAAACTGATGGAAAAATTTGAAATGTGCAAGCGGGATTTAGAAAGGGAATGGATGTACGGATCAGGTCTTTTCCATGCACATGATCGCGGAGAAGTTTTTGGCCAAAAACCAAAAAGTTTTTTGTGCGTGCATACACTTGGAGAAGGCTTATGACAGAGTGGACAAGGATGTGTTGTGGCAAACACTGAACTCATTTGGGTTGACCGCTGGTCTGATACAGGCATTGAAGTCTCTATATAGGGACTCTAGTGCTTGTGTCAGGATCAACGGGGCTTACTCGGACTGGTTTGGCATCCATAAAGGTGTCAGATAGGGCTGTGTGGCTTCCCCGTGGTTGTTCAACCTATTTATGGACAGTTGTTTGGATAATTTGAAAGTAGAAGAATGCGGGTTAAGAATGGGTCAGTTAACCGTCAAATGCCTTTTGTACACCGATGATCAAGTCATACTTGCATCGTCGGCAGCCGAGTTGCAAATGATGGTTACATTAATGAACAGGACATTAAAAGAAAAGGGAATGAAAGTGAATGCAAGTAAGACGAAAGTTATGGTTTTTGAAAGAGAAGAAAGTAAAACGATATGTGAAATAAGAATAGAAGGGGAGTTGGTAGAGCAAGTAGATGAGTTTGTATATTTGGGATGTGTGTTTAGCAAGGATGGTAGATATGATAAGGATATAGAACGACGAGTGAATGCAGGAAATAGAGTGAATGGGGCTCTACACTCTATTGTGAAAAGTCAGAATGTATCCAAAAAGGCACGTATGGAAATTCACAATGCTGTGTTAGTACCTACTTTAATGTATGGTAGTGAAAGTTGGGTGTGGCAGAAGAAGCACGAGAGTAGAATAAATGCTGTAGAAATGTGGTCATTAAGGAGTATGTTAGGGATGAATTTGAATGACAGAGTGAGAAATTGTTTAATAAGAGAAGAATGTGGTTTGCAAGATGATGTTGTGACCAGGATTAAGAAAGGAATGCTTCGGTGGTTTGGCCATGTAGAAAGAATAAATGAGGAAAGAGTGACAAAGAAAATTTATGTTGCAGAGGTGAACAGCATAGTCGGGAAGGGTCGCCCTAGACGAAAGTTTATCGACCAGATTGGCAATATATTAAAAATGTGCCAAATCAAGAGTACCTTTAACCGACGAGCGTGTATGCGTAGGTATATGGATGTGGAGGAAGCGAGAGATGTGTGTCAGGATCATGCCAAATGGAAGTCCATAATCTCTGCCTACCCCTCTGGGTGACAGGCGTGAGTGTGTATGTATGTTATGTTTTTTTTAAGGATTAGAAGTGATACGTATTATACCATTTAAAATCCATATAGGATAAATGGGCCATCTTTTGAAGTAACTTGCCTAGAGTATTTTTTTAATGAAGAGTCAATGTTAGGTGATCTTATTTTTTCAACTACGACTAAAGCAAACTACTTTAATTTTATCTAACCTACCATCCTTTTTTTTTTGCTTGATTTGTGACTGCGATTTACCCGGGGATGGTATGACCCGCCCTCCCCTCCTCTCACACAGTGCCACTTGACGTTGAATTTCGGAACACGTTGCGTAGAATAGCTCTGTACCATACAAAGCATTACAATCCACGTTCATTTAAGAATAAGTTAAATAAAATGAAACTTATAGTATCTTAGTTTGATTCAATTAAAAACATATCCTTTTACTTTTCCAAATGTACAAAATAATACTGAACCTACACTTAGCGGCACAATTAACCGCCCACCCTTTTAAAGTGGCAAATTTTGATGTTATCGCAGTTGTAAGTTATTGGGCATAAATAAGTCAAGTGTGAAAGAAATGTAGTGACGGAAAAATTACAAGCTACCCACTTAACTTTGTTTTTTTACGCATAAGTTGTGAATAGGACAAATATCGAACTTCGTCTCATTATCGTTGTCGTTGCCATACTGCTTACATTGCTTCAGTGGCATTAAAAGTAAACAATTTGAGTTTGTTTTGGTTTCGTAACTTAAAGCTAGTGTTTGGACATCACAAACATGCCATTTGATGCTAATTCAGTGGCGAGAGCCGTCGCTCTTATCGAGGTTACGGTCCTGACGGTCGCCAGCGTTTATACAGACGCAAGAATGAAAGGTTTGCACCATGTACTGTTGTGGAAACAGTAGGTTACCAAGGTGGCTCTATCATGATATGGGGCGGCATTACTTACGAAGCACGCACCGACTTGGTTATCTTCGAAAGAGGTGGAATAAATGCTCAGAGGTATGTAACAGAAGTATTGGAACCTCATGTAATGCCATTTGCTCCATTTATTGGCGAAGATTTTTTATTAATGCAGGACAACGCTCGCCCCCACGTTGCTAGAGTTGTTACCGCGTACCTGGATACCGTCGGCATTCGAAAATTAACATGGCCATCCCGGAGCCCAGATTTAAAATCCTATTGAACACATATGGGACAATTTAAAAAGACGTGTTCGAAGCCGCATACCAGCTCCAACCACCATAGATGAATTAAAACAATCCGTGGTTGAGGAGTGGCAGAACATTCCACAACAACAGATCAAAGATGTCATCGACAGCATGCCAAACCGTTTGGTGGAAGTCATGAGGGCTAGAGGTGGAAATACGCACTATTAGAATTCATTTATTCAGCATATTTTTTATTTTTAAGCCATTTCATCACATTTGTTAATTTACGGTCAAAGTGTTTTTCAGACTTTTTTATAAATAAACGTAATAATTAAAAACAATATTATCTTTCATTTTACTTCAATATACCTACGTTATAAAATAACATTCACAAGTAAGGCCACAATTTTTTTTAACCAAAATCGTAAAAAATCAAGGTGGGCAGTTAATTGTGCCGCTGAGTTTAGTTGGTAACGCCCTTTAGTGTATTTGTTCCAACCAATATTGGTCAGTAATATAGACGCCATCTTTGCCAGAGTGAAAGAAACTTCCCTCATTTCGTCACCTAATAATTTGTCAGTGGCTCATCTATACAATATATGGCATGTTATATATGCCCGAAACTATAATTTGTAACGTTAACCCGCTTGTACAACCAGATTCAAAAAAAATATATCTGGGTCATTGAAATAGTTGTTTTAGGTCTGACACACAGCTTCACCGCCAAATGTTTATTCACTGCGCTACCAAGCTGTCACTCATCTTTCATTGTGATAAAATATTTTTTTTTTAAAAAATGCTCACTGATTTAGATATTCCATTTGTGAGTATAAGAAATGTTGACGTGAAACTCTTTAATCCACCTAATTACTTGCCTAAGCGGGATTGCAATAATCTAATTTCCATGTCTGTAGGCTACTACTACTGGGCTGCTGCCGAGCCCTTGGTGATCGCGACCATGTGCCTTTAATGGCAATTAAAAGCCAGTTTCCCCTGTCGTACAGCGACCACCTATGCAAAAGCAATCGGCACAATGCTGATCTGCCTCTTAGACGGGAGATTGGGGACTAGTGGCGTCTCTCGTGGCATGCATAATGATTAGTGAATACGTTCACTAAGACGATGGTATGATGATCGCCGGAAGTTAAATTATCTCAACATTTTTCAAATATATCTTTATATAATATCGCGTCACAGCGTCTTACGTATAAAATAAAAAAAAAATCATTATGTTGATGAGAGATAATGTGGTGAAGATTTCTTGACGACTGCTTTTTTTTAAAAGCTTTTTTTAACTTGTAATGTTTGTTTGTTCTCAAAAAATAAAACAAAAATAAATCTGCAAATTTAAGTGATGTGTTTAGTATGGTAAGTGTACAGAAACGGTGACCGTTATTACTAGAAATGAGGCATTTCATCACAGTACTCAAGGGTGCCAACGGATTTCGCAATTCTTAATTAAAGAATTACCACTTACCACCAGGTGGACTGTGTGCTCGTTTATCACCAGTGTAATAAAAATAGTGTGCTTGGAGATTGCAGCTCTCGGGTTTTCTTTTGAATGGACGTTCCAATAGAATAAAATATCGATTTGTAATCTAAAGTGGCACTATAGAACAAAAATAAATCTGCAAATTTAAATTCAAAAGCCCACAATAGATAAGGAAGAAATTTTCTCGTGTGGCAGCTTCGAAACCTCGTAGAACGTCGGTAATGTGAACTTTCCCTCGTAGTTAAATATTGTGGGGACAAACAGGTAAAATAAAGCAGTTCGTAAATTGTGTACGATTATATCAAATGGAAGTTCTTAGGGAGTATTTTTTTTTGTACATTGTATGCCACACAGTGGCCCTTGGACACCTACGTTGGTCCTCGATTAATAATCAAATATATTTTTTTTATATTTACGCGATTTTTGATACTGATATTGAATAAAACAAATTTCGCAGATACCATCGCATTTAAATTTAATATTTTTAAGTTTTTTAAGTTTTGTCATAATACAGTATTTCTTCATTGAGACTAACGCACGATATATGAAACAGTTATATAAAATTTCACTTTGAAAAACGATTATTAAAGTTTCTTGAAAACGCAAACGTTTGCACTGTAGTTTGCGTTAAAATACCTAGGCCACAATTTACGTAAGCTTAAAGTCCGCCCCCTATAATAGTTTTATTATTGAATTCTTTAAGCGATTTTTTATACAACATTGTCGCTGTAGCTCTCCAGTAGCACCTGCTCCGTTAATTTTCGCTAACCGCAGCAATTACGAAGCGCACCGGTGATGGAAATTTCCACTCTTCTGTTGGCTTCGTCCCAGCGTAGGTGCTATTAATTAAACAGTGTTTCATAGAGTTAGGAGATTTATTTAAAATGAAGTAGAGACCTTTATGAAATTTTTACTATTATTCTCAACAGTAAAAATCACCTTTTTAAATAAAAATTGTTTCTTTAAATTGATACGCCACTATCATTCTTCAAGGGAATAATATTATTTTTATGCCAGGGTTTATGAAATAAAATTATTCACGTAGATATATGGATTTGGAGGAGGCAAGAGAGGTGTGTTAAGATCGTGCCAAATGGAAGTCCATAGTCTCTGCCTACCCCTCTGGGTGATAGGCGTTTTTATGTATGCATTCACTTTCAGCCATCACCGGCAGCTATTGAAAAAATGTTTCTTAATTCATCAACTTTCTCATCTTGTGGTTCATTAGTGTAAGCGCTGGAATCACATTGCAAATTTTACTATTTACTGCATCATTTATAAAATTTTAAAGATTTTATATAATAATATATTTCAAGTGCAATATTTAGGATAATTAATTTAAATGAAACTAGTTTTATTGGATTTTATATCCAATAAAACTAGTTTCATTTAAATATAACTTATTTTTTTTAATAAAACTTTTAAATAAAACTTACTTTATATTCCCGACGTTTTGAGAATTTTACAGCAACCATTTTTCACGGGGGACTGAGATGTTCGTCATCACAATGTCATAATTATCAGATCTCCAGATTATCTATACATCTATACAAATAAATAAAATTGAAGTGTCTGTTTGTAATTTCAAAATTACAGTTTTTTACTAAATGCATATGAAAGTAAATACGGTACCTATAACTAAAATACAATTTTTAAAATTTTTGTCTGTCTGTCTGTCTGTCTGTCTGTTTGTTCCGGGTAATCTCCGAAACGGTTGGACCGATTTTGACGGGACTTTCACTGGCAGATAGCTGATTTCATAAGGAGTAACTTAGGCTACTTTTATTTTAGAAAAATAATTAGGGTTCCGCGCAAAAACATAAAAACCCTAACACGCGAACGAAGTCGCGGGGAACAGCTAGTTAAAAAATAAATTTCCAATCTACGCAGTATGAATTTAGAGTAACTTGAAGTCTTGTAGCTGCATGCTTGGGTTGGGATATAATTTTATTAATTATAAGATCCAAGCAGATGGCAACACCCATCGATTTTTTTTACTGAAATAAGGATTTTTTTTATTTCAATAGCCACGCGAATCATCCTTGAAGGAAATCGGTGGTTTTAGCGAGGATTTGTGGTCTATTAAATCTGATGTAATGATGGGGCGGCCCTGTACGTGTTTACAGACTGCGGACTTCCCGGAGCGATGATCTTTCACATCAGATATGTGTTGTATAACGCGGGTTTTTATTGATCTTTTAGTTTTTTCTCTGAAAGAGTGACCACATTAACAATTAAGCTTGTACACTCCTGCATCTTGCAGAGGGATATTACACTCGACTGAAGGTAAAAACTGACTAACTTTCTTCGGCGGCTTGAAGTATGTTTTAATGGAAGCACGATTTAAGATGAAGCCAATCCTGTCAGTGACACCTCTGACATATGGCAATAGAACAACAGTTACACGCTCGACTTTGGCCTCGTGTTGAAGCTCGGCGGCCAGGTGTTTACAATCACATATCCTTCGTGCTCTCTAAAATAAACATTTACCCACGGTAGCTAACTGTGACGGATGGTGGTAAGAATTACCGTTGCCACGGTTTCACCACTTTTAATTCACCTTTTTCAATGTACAACGCCAAAAAATGTAAAAAATCCAAAAACCAATGTATTATGAATTAGGGTTAAACTGAGCCGTGCGTTTCCACTTTGGCATTAGTATTGACGCAAAGCTTTAATGGAGCCCCTATAATATACCTTAATTAGCCAACGTTCCAGATTCCACATAATCCCACTGTGTACAGAAGTAATTCAGTAATGTTTCGATCTACATAAACTAACAATGGGAATTTTCATTATCTTGACCCGTTTATGGATACAAAAGCTTATTATAAGCGCGAAATATATAAGAGTTCACTTTAATTCAGAATTTCGCAAATGAAATAGATTCAACACGAAGTCAACATTTTGTTTTGGTCCGAGTTCTACCAACATGTGTATAATTCATTATTAGTTTTATTTATCTTTAAGTTACAGCCTATTAACGTCCCACTGCTGGGCACAGGTCTCCTCCCACTTCTGAAAGGGTTTTTTATTTTTTTATTTTTTATATTTCTTTGATTAATTGTAATTAATATAAAAAGATAAAAATCACAAAAGACTGCACTTTCTTAATATTTATTTTTGCATGGCATAAATCAATTATTATTATATTAATAAATAAATTTTATTAAATAAATAAATATCGCGTAAAATTCATAAACACCTTGTGTTAATTCCAATCTGGACATTTTATGAAAGAGTTTTGTGATATTTAAATATTAAAAACAGTTAATAGGCATTGCAATACATTATACATTTTATTATTATATATTACATTTTTCTATACCTAAAATAAATATTTTAACACCAACACATTCCTCTCGTCCTATACCCGTTTACGTTCTGGGAGTGTCATAAGAGGCGACGAGAGTAATGAAAATAGAGAGTGGTAGCATCATTCTAGTAGCAACTAGAAAATAAAAAAACTGCGGTTGCCTACCCACCTGCTAGCGTGGAAACTATGGCAATTATCGTTCCAAAAACTTATTTGTGTACGAAGTT